AAAGAGCAGTGCAGGGAGAGAGCTGAAATCATGACATACTGTGCTCTTTTAGAGCATTTAGCGTTTAGAAACATTGTTTAGAATATTGCAAGAGTGTGGGAACGGTTTAAAATGCTTTAATACACACTGCCTGGCCAAAAAAAAGAAAATCGCCACCTGGATTTAAGTAAACAAATAGGTACGAGCCTCCTATTGGATAATTACTGCATGGACGATTATCTTTCAGCTGGTAACAAGTTATTTAACCCCATCTGGTGCAATGAGTTGCTTCTCATTTCTTAAACAACCATGTTGAAAGACATAACGTGGTCGTGGAAAAGATGTCCGTCTGTTTGAGAAGGGTCAAATCATTGGCATCAAGCAGAGAAAACATCTAAGGAGATTGTAGAAACTACTAAAATTGGGTTAAGAACTGTCCAACGCATTATTAAAAACTGGAAGGATAGTGGGGACCCATCGTCTTCGAGGAAGAAATGTGGTCGGAAAAAAATCCTGAATGATCGTGATCGGGGATCACTTAAATGTTTGGTGAAATCAAATCGAAGAAAAACAACAGTAGCACTCAGGGCGTTGTTTAGTAGAGCAAGAGTAAGAGCATTTCCACACACACAATGTGAAGGGAACTCAAGGGATTGGGATTGAACAGCTGTGTAGCCTTAAGAAAACCACTAATCAGTGAGGCTAACTGGGAGAAAGGCTTCAGCTTGCTAGGGAGCATAAAGATTGGACTCTGGAGCAATGGAAGAAGGTCATGTGGTCTGATGAGTCCAGATTGACCCTGTTCCAGAGTGATGGGTGCATCAGGGTAAGAAGAGAGGCAGGTGAAGCGATGCACCCATCATGCCTAGTGTCTAGTCATCAATGCAAGATCTTGGTGAAACATTAATGCAACACTGGATGGAAATAGATCTTGAGACATTGCAGAAGCTTATTGAAACAATGCCACAGTGAATGCATGCTGTAATGAAAGCTAAAGGAGGTCCAACAAAATATTATTGTGACTTTTTTTGGTGGCAACTTTTTTTTGCCATGCAGTGTATATACTACTACTTGTACTACTATTCCTACTTCACAGTTTTTTACTTATCGCAGATCTTCGGGGTACGGATTCCCCACAATAAATGAGGAACTACTGTATACCCTATTAAATTTGACATTGCTTGATAACTGGTACTATTAAGTATGTTTGAAACTAAACTGATTAGAGACGATGAGAATAATGGGAGATTGTGAGCATTATGTTTCCGCAGCAGCACGGAGACATGCAGCTGTCTTTAGCTTATCTTCTTAAACTTAACATCCATGTTTTTGAACTGTGGGAGAAAAGTGGAGAACCCAGAGAAACATGCACGTGGAGGACATGAAAACTCCAGACAAGAGTTGAACCCAGAACCTTCTGTTCCACCATTCAGCCCGAGGTATTAACGTGCATCAAATCTGAACAGGCTTGTTGACTGGTGGTGATTGGTTTCATTTCAACCTCTCATCTCATCCTCTGCACATTCTGAACTCCTCGCGTCATGAATGAGATGTGAGTGTTGGCAGTGAGGACAGACAGGAGTGGTGACGGACACGTATCAGAGTGAGACATCTTTGTTTCAGAGCAGGAACAAAATCAACAACCATGTATTAAATCTGACGTGTGGCACAGCTGTTTTGTGTAACTACAGGTTTGGTGCAGCATTCCTCACACATCTACATGAGAACAGTTGTCGCTGATGAGCAACAAATATGCAACCTGTTATCAGCTGTATTTCCTGTCTGACAGAGGTAATAGCTTGTTTAGATCAATCTGACACATTAAGTTTTAAACTCTTCAGTAGGTTAAAAACTTTATTATATTTATGAATCCACATTCATCCCAACTTTCCTCTACCGTGGTTTTACTCAGGAACATTGGCTCTTGCACAGAGTATTGTTTTGTAGTGTTTAGGCCTGTCGCGATAAACAATAAATCAATCGCATGAATGAAAATTACAAACCTCATTTTCATTTATCGGTTTTATTGTTTCTTCTCGTCTCTCTCTTCCTTCTGAAGACACTGGATGACAAAAGGCTTAATTCCGGTGCTCTTCAATGACACCTCCCTTTCTCTTTTCTCTTTAAAATCCATTTTAACCGTCTAAAATTGCGTTTTTGGATCATTAAAAGCAGCTAAGCTGAGAAGCTAAGCTAACAGGCCGACCTTGGGGAATAAACTTCCGTCTTGTCGAAGCTCCAAAATTTACGGATGAAACCCGTGCCTTTGTCTAAATGTTTTTCTCTGTGCAAAGAAGCTGAGAACTTGTTTACTGATTTTTCATTAAAAACTTTGTGTGACAAATGTTATGCTAAAGAGCTCAAATCACCGAGCCTCCGCCATGTCGCCATGTAAGAACGTGTCTGGTCTTCATTTTCTGCATGTAAACGCACGTAACCTTCTAAGAAAACTTGATGCCTTCAAAATTCTGGTCAGTTCTTCTGGGGCAGATGTTGTCTTCATCTCTGAAACCTGGCTCAACAAATCTGTACTCGATAATGACCTGGCAATCAATGGATTTAACATCTACCGCTGTGATCGTCAAAAAGGGGGGGGGGGGGGTGTCGCTGTTTACATCAGAGATTCTTTGGTTGCTAGTCCTGTGTCTTCTAAAACAATTCCTAACAAGTTTGAAGCCTTAGCTGTAAACATTACTTTGAATGGTGGCCAGATATGATCTGTAGTCTGTTGTTACGTTCCCCCTCAGCAACACCTGAGGCTCTGTCCTCCCTGATGGAATTCCTTGGTAATTTAAAATTCAGAGATCTTTTTGGCTGGAGACCTCAACATTGATTGGTGTAAGTCGACCCCCCTCTTCGATAAATTCAAGGAATGTTGCCTGTCTTACAATCTTACCCAATTGATCAACTCTCCCACTAGATTAAACAACGAAAAAATCCTCCATCTTAGACTTATTTCTAACTAATATGCCTCACAAATTCCCTGGTACAGGTGTATTTGCCAATATCTTTAGTGATCATTGTGTGACAGCGGCTTTGAGAGAGATTAAACTTCCACCTTCTAAGCCCAGATTAATTCAAAAAAGGGATCTGAAACATTTTTGTGAACAGTCATTCCTCTGGGATCAGTCTCACTTTGACTGGCATCGTATTCTGTTAACTGATGATGTGAACTCAGCTTGGAACTATTTTCATAATAGTTTTATTTATTTTGTGAACATACATGCTCCTTTTCGTCAGTTCAAAATAAAGGGACAAGACAGCCCCTGGTTTACTCCAGAGCTAGCTGACCTCCTGCACAGGAGAGATCATCTTTGGGCCACAGCGAGAAAATCTGACTCAGACACTGATTGGTTGAGTTTTCGACAGATAACGAATAAATGCACAACTGCTGTCAAAGCAGCAAAACACAACTATTTCTTATCTCAGACCTCCAAAAATCTAAATGACCCTAACAGATTCTGGAAAACCATCAAATCTCTCTCAGGCAGCTCCCAATCATCTGACCTCCCATCACAACTTCTCATTAACTCTGTTCCTGTGTCAAATAAGCACGAGATCCTGAACTGTTTCAACAAACACTTTGTTGCTTCTACTTCTTTATTTGACACAGTTACTAAAGGAAGATCAGCCACTAAACTTAATAACCAAACTTCTACAAATCAAATCCCTCCTACAAGTCAATCCTCAGTTAATCACAGCTTCTCTTTTTCTCCGTTCTCAGTCAGTGAGGTCAATAAACTGTTAAAAGATCTTGATCCTAAAAAATCTGCAGGTCCAGATGAACTTCCACCTTATTTCTCAAGGCTGGCTGCTCATATCATCACAGTCCCTGTGACCCACATCTTCAATCTCTCCATAAGACAAAACTCCATCCCAGACACTTGGAAAACAGCCTTTGTTCTTCCTTTACTGAAGGGAGGTGACCCCACCTCACTGAACAACTATCAACTAATCTCTAAACTCTGCAT